GAACTTATTATCTAAACTGATAGTAAATAATAATATATTAAAGTTTATAAAATAGTTTTTTATTCATGTTTGCAAATTTGAAATTCGTTTGAATTTAATTTCAAAATTTAAATAGTAAAATATGTAATTATAAAATTGGGTTTCTATTAACTTTTTTTCAGTTAATCGGGTCCCGGAAAAAAAGGTAGTACCTAGGTAAATTTAGTTTTAAGAAAAAACAAGTAATATATTTTAGATTCTGAACGGAGTGATGAATGTATTGATTTTACAATGATGTGTGTTTTTTTTTTGTGTGTCTGTGTACAGTATAAGTAGTCGAAATAATGCTTCAATTTCAAACTTCGGGGATGGTTTCCGATGGCAAAATGAATATCCTTGGTGCATTTTAGAGGTAAAAAGTAAACATTTTCCAACAGTTTTCAAAAAAATCGAGAAAAACAAAAAAAAATGACAGAAGAACGGGAATTTTTACTCAAAACCAGTTTTCGACCAAATCGATTTTTTTATATGGTTGTAATTCAAAAACTAATCACGGTAAATACTTGAAATTTTTACCAAATGTTTATGTTAGTGTTATCTATATACAGTTAAATTTTCAAAAAATTTTGATTTTTTTTGAGTTATTTATAGACCACTGAAATTATCGATTTTTATGAAAATTTTTTTTTGAAGTGTCGATAAAAAAATATTGGATGACCAAAAAATTTTGAAAATTTAATACAAGGTTCCTTATGAGTTGTTCTTATTGTAGCTAAAAAAAATTAAAAATCGTTAGTCACAATTTTTGTTATAAACGTTTATAGTTCAAATATTTACGAAATCTATCGAAAACGCGAAAATTTGTATGTAATTTTGAAGTTGAAAAATCATAAATTTTTTTGTGTTTATAACTAAGGATAGCTATAGTAAAAACTCGAAGCATCATTATAGGAAAAATTTTAAGTGCGTTTGAATTTTAAATTTTTACGAAATAGCGTAACGATAACGATTTATCCTCAAACGATTTTAAATATTTGTGAATATTCAAAAAGTATAAGTCGTAGATAGTTGAAAATTTTACCAGTTATTTAGATTGACATTTTCTTTACATGATTTAATTTTCAAAATATTTTGATATTTTATGAGCTATTTATAGACAACTGAAATTTTTAACTTTTCTGAAGTGTTGATAAAATTTTTTTGGCCCAATCAAAATACTTGAAAATTTAATACAAAGTTTCTCATAAGTTATTCTTATAGTGATCAAAAATTTTTAAGAATACATAGGCACAATTTTTTTTTTTATTAGCATTAATTGAAGTTCAAATATTGACAAAAATTCGTCAAAACCATGAATATTAGCAAACTATTTTGTAGGTATAATTCATAAAAATTAATAATTAATTGATTAACTATGACTTTTGCAAATGCGTGTGCGTCCTAATTGAAAAATAAAATATTTGTTTCAAAATAGAATGTATGACAATATTTAAATATAATATATTTATATATCATAGACTGACAAATCATTTCCGTTCAGAATCGTTTTTCGTATACAATGATACCTATCATTGCATTCAAATTTAACCTACCCTAGTCTGAGGTTCACCCCACCCCCTAATGTACAACAGAGCGGTACCCACTTGCCTGATTTTTTTAATATCAATCTTTATTAGAACTCAAATTAATAATAAGTAGGTATCTATATTTGATAATTTTGTTATGGTATAAATACTATAAATTGTATAAATTATTGATTAAAAAATCAATTTTTATTATTATATAGTTAAATCAGAACTAAATTAACTAATTGAAATTAGTTCCACGTAGGTACTTTCTAGTTAATAATATTTTTAAAATATAATAAAAATAGAAGTATATAAAAAAAATGAATTTAAGAACGAGATCCAACTTACCAACTACTTTTTTACTACTTGTAAAATGAATATAAATATTATCACTATATAAAGTATAAATTGTAATAGTCCATTAATTATCTATAGCTATGTACCTACATACGTAATATTCAGATATAACTTACAAATTAAACATACCTATAATACTTAAACACTTACTCATTTATTAACTATATATAGGTATAGATTTGTAATTTTATATGATTTACTGCGGTTTTAGATTCAAAAACTTTAACAAATTATAACTTAAACCTTTTACCTATTATTGGTTAGAACAAAAAAAATTTCATCATTTCATATTCTTGAGTAATTATAACTATAGATTTTAATTTGTTTATATTTTGTTATCGAGAACAAATTTTATTTATCAATATTTTTAACGTTATTTTGCTTTTGCAATTAATATATTAGGATTTAATTACTAAATTGTGTAAATTATATTGTGATGTTAATCTGTTAATTCAATTGAATGATTTGAATTATGAAAGTTTTAAGTTACCTATTCTATTTTACTTATTCATTCATAAAGTGCACCTTAATGCTTTTTACGCAATGTAAAGAAAAATAAAGGATTAGATATTTTTATCTACAAATTGTGGTTTTATGCTATAATAATCTACAGACTACAGTCTACAACTATTGTGAAAATTGGTTACAAATTACAATACCTACATGTTATTCACTACAAAATTTCTAAATTTTTATCGAAAGTACAGTTAGGTACCCATAAAGAACTAGATACTTACTAGTTACTACATTCAACCGCTACTAATTTTTTCATACGAACTAACGAAGTTTACCGCTATAAATGAGTTACCTATATTCTTTTTTCACTATTTAGGTTTTAAAGGACAATTATGAATTAATATTTTATTAATATCTAATTAAACTCACAAATCCATAACTAGAAGTTGTGAGAGAAGAAATATGTTTATAAAATTGATTAAAAAATATTATCAAAGAGAAATTTTGAATTATGTGGTAAGTACCAAGTAGTTGTTTAATTTTATCTAAAAGGTACTTAGGTACTTATATTAGTAGGTATTCTAAGTGATATGTTATAGAAAATAATAAAATAATCGATTAATATTAAGATTTTTGTTGATTCGGTGAACGAAATAGTCGAAATATAATAACTTTAGTCATGAATATATTACAGGTTGGTACCTAATGTTTCGATTAACAAATTTGTAGAACTTGAATATTCAACTACACATATTATGTGACATGTGCATTGTACACTTACATTGATAGTTATTAATTATTATTACCTACTTTTTCAGATATGGATAGTTTAAGATGTCTTAATCCTAAACAAAAAAAAATGAGAAAAAATGTTTTTTCAAACTCATTTATAGTTTGTACCATCAAAGTTAAAGGTAATTTAAAGAATAGTTTTACGCAATTCGGCATAAGTTAACGTGCTATAAAAATAATATATAAATAAAGTGGATACATAATTATGCATGTAGTAACTAGTATGTACTATGTAGGTAGGTACTTAATCAAATAAAATATATTAGACACATAGCCATACTAATAGCTCATAATTAACAAAATAAACTTAGTTTTATTACTAGAGATTGTTAAGTTTATCTATTTAAGACTAATGAAAATAATACCTATAAAAAAAAAAATAAGTTTTGAAGTTTAAAATTTTGAATACTTCCTGTTTTTCTGTATATAACAGTATGTCTGTAAGTATTTACAGTTTAAAAATTGGTAACCAGAAGCCGTCCCAAGAAAGGGCTAGAGGCCTTGAGCTTTTAAGCCAGAATTAAAAAAAAATCGTATATTGTTAAAAACAAAATTAAAAAAAGAAACAATATACCATAGACTATTACAGATATGTATTAGTGTGTAGTTAGGTGTATGCATAAATAAATAATAACAGTATTAATATTTTTTTAATATAAAGTATAAATAATCCATAATAATATGAAATACGCTATAGTATAATATATTATTGTGAATATTATGACTTAGCTCTCCCCTCAACTAAGTCACTGGAACTACCCTTATAAATAACAAGTATGATTTTATTAAGAATAAAACTTTGGTAAGTTGATCCACAACCTTACAATTAAAAATGTATATTATTATTTATTGGTATTTTTATTTACTGTATCAAGTATAATTACAACATTAGATAGGTATATTATAAATAGTTTAAACTAAAAATGTATCCAAGTGCAATCTTGATGGTACACATTTTATAAGACCTCGAAATGTAAGGTGTTATTTTGTTATTCACACTAAAAATTGTAGTGTAAAATATACTTTAAGATAAGAAATAGTTTCCAAATTGTTCCTGTTAGTATTTTAAATTATAATATTTTGATTTTTGACTAGCTTTGCACATAATAATTATAATATCAAGTTTTAAACTCGATATATTTTACTGGAATTTTTCAATTCATTGTATTTATTTGACTTCTTTCATTATATAAGTTGACAGGGGAATGCTAAAAATAAATTATTTAATGTTTAACCTTTTCACTAAAAAAGTTAAATACATAATTGAGGAACATAAACAAGAGGCAAAAATAAATAAATTAAAATTTTTTATCAATTTATTTTATTATTTTTAATGTATTAAACATGTTTATTAATATGAATATAGGTAGGTACAAAATATATAAGAATTATTATTGGTTTTCAACTGACAATTCTCATTGAATGCATATTGTATAAGTAATGGTACTTAATTTTATATAACGAAAAACTGTATGAACATTTTTAAAAGAATAAATTTAGAGTTTTCAGCAATCCTACAGCATAACACATAAATGTTTATATTATAACATGTTTGTTAAGACGCTCAAGTTGAACAGTTTAATTGATGTGTAAATAATAAAATTATGATAATTATAATTAGCAATAGTAATAATAAGAAATTATTGCTTATAAGTAACTAATCAATATTATTCTAAGAATCATAAATTAAAAATATTAATGTTACACTTATAGTACACCAAAACAAATTCAGAACTATATTAAATATTTATAAAAATAAATTATCTGTAACATACAAAAAAAAAAATAAAAATAAAAATTATTAACAGTCTTACAGTATTCAAAAATATACCTTCTAAATTTTATAACTTATAAGTAAACTCCAGTTCTTATTTTTTTAATTTGATGTAATACTGGAGAACTACTTTTATTTTTATATTGTTCAGTTCTAATTTGTTTATCAATCATTTTGTTATAAAGAAAAGTCATCAAATTAGTTTTTTCCAAGTATATGAATGATTTAACTAAATTACTTAACGTTTCAAATACATGTGTCATCTCAACATCCTCGTTTCTTAAAATGCTTTCATTACAAGCATCAATAGTATACTTATAAACAGAGTTACTAGTTAAAATCCACAGTTGATTACCATGTGCTGCTAAATTCAAAACATTGTTTTCAAATTTAAGAGTTTTTATATTTTTAATATTCCATTTATTTTCTTTTTTCTCTGTTTTAATGATATGTACATCTTTAGAGTTATATAGTTGAATAGCAGCTAAGTTTTCAATTTCAATAACATTTTGAACTGCAGTATGAAGAGTTAGTTTATCAATCAAATCACCATTATTGAAGTCCCACAAACGCAGTGTACAGTCACCAGAGCCAGATAGGATAAAATTGTTCAATAAACAAATTCCACTAACATACGCTTCATGTCCCATCATGTAATAAACAATGTTTTTACCATTTGGATAATGTGAAACTCGTACTTTTTCATCATTGTCACATGTAACAATATACTTTTCATTATCACTAATACAAATGTCAAGGATCATAGACGAATGACCCAGGATACGAATAGGGAGTTCTTCAAATGCATAAACATCACCTTTTTTATCACCGACAACAATTACATTAGTTTTTGGTGTAAAAACTATGTTTGTTGCATGCTTTGCTAGTGATTTGTTTTCCACTAATGTCCAGTTTGTAGTGTTCCAAATGCTTAGGAGTTTTCCTTTGTTCGGATTATAAGCAAATAGTGTGCCATCAGCCGAAAATGCCGCACATGCTTTTTGCAAGTCATGGTTATTGATTGGAATGTTTTTGTACGCTTCGCCCAAATTTTCAGTGAGATTTTTTACATTTCCACTGTCTAACGAATACACAAAACATTTATCAACATCTATTGAAGACACTACAACAGTTGTTCTACTAACAGCTATACACGTCATATTAATATTATATGGGTTAGGTCAAATATTTTAATAAGCACTATAAATTATTATTCAATCACTATTAAAAACAAGTTACAATTCTTAACTTAAAAATATATGAAGTTATTAACTTATTTTTAATAATAATTAATAACATAGAACCAAATGACAAACACTGCGGTGGTAAAGTACAGTATTATTTATAAATAAAAACTAGAAAAAAATAAAAATATACCAAGTATAAAATGTTTAAACGTTTTAACTTATAAGTATTTATTAGAAATTAAATACATAACCAAAAATAAAATTATTTTTTAAATCGTTTTATTGGTATAATTAAATATCGATATTTATTACATAATATGTGTTACTGTAGTTGCTCAATAAAAATTAAAATGTGCTTTTAATAATTTTAGAGTAAGTAACAAATAATAATTTAAAAACAATTATCTATTTTTATTTTTATTAATTAATTATTTTGGTTTTCCTGACATTTTTGGTGATTAAATATTAAAATGTATCTACCTATTAAAATTTACAAGAAAACTATCGATATTATGTCACTTCGAATGGTTATCATTATCTTTAATCGTGTTGGGTATGCATATGATAATACATCAATATAGTCTAATCTATTCCATATTATTTATTCACACGTGCGCTGGTTAATATCATTGCTATAGATAAGGCTTAAATATTGTTATTTGAAAATTTTGATCATATTATTATATATTATTATTATTTTTATTTGTTTATTTAATTGACTGTTATACGAGTGTTTGCTGTTTCGTATAAAACTGTAATTATTAGTCATTAATTCTCGTGCAAAAGTATTGCTAAAAAGTAAATTACTATTAACTAAAAGCGAGTAGAAATCAAGCTACTACAAACTGAACAGTGTTAATGCTATTGTATAAAAAAATCAATTTGTGTATAGCTTCATCATATAATGTCAGATTCGCCGAGGCCTAAAGGATTGAATACTTCAAATGCTGGGAAGTCCTCCCCAGCTCGAGGTAATTTGATGTAACTTGTTGAGTTTCTATTTTATTAGGTCTGAGAATGTGTTACAGAAGTGGATGTTTACTCTGGTCGGCCTGCTCAAGGGCATAGTGGTAATCTGACTGGCAATCGTCGCATATTGAAAGATACCGCAGCAGATATCTTCAATCGTATGCAGCAATGGAAAGTTTATCAAGATAGAGGATGTGTTTTAATATCAAATATATTCAATTTGAGAATGGAAACGTAAGCATTATTTTTATATTGAGTACTATGTAATTTATTACATTTTTAAAAATAAAAAAATTTATAGAGTACTAATTATAATATTGGATTTCATGTTCAGTATACTTTTATTTTGTATGCAAATTCCACAGGTCAGGCATACAATTTCCAGATCAACTTGGTAGTTTAGTAAAGGAGCTAAAAAAATTATGTGAGCAAATGGTAAGTAAAAAATAGATATTCTATGTCAACAAAATCAAATTCAAATTTGAACACTTAATGTTTTTTATTTTTATATTTGCAGTTTGATATTGTGGAAGGACTCAAAATTAAATTAAGGAATCTTATAGCCATATCAGTTTTAGAAAAAGGCAATACGACTCCTCTTTTCATATCATGGACAACAGAACATTTTTGTATGGTTAAAGAAAAAACAAAATGTTTATTAATAGACACCTAATTTACATTAATATTTTTTTCTACAGGCAAAGTAACTGAGAAAATATTAATAGCTTATCAAAAAGAGCAAAAACTTCATCAAAGTCTTTTATTGAGAATAGCAGACAGCTTAGATCCTGATAATCTGTTATTTTATCTTTCATGTTGGACATATCAACCATATTTAGATCATACCATTGAAAAAGAATTGCATTGTATGATTAAAGAGACTAGACATGTATGAGTTAGTTTAACAATAAATTAAGCTAAAATAGTTAAGAATCATAAAAAGTTATTAATTTATATTAATAAAACTATACTCTAACTTAATTAACAATAACAAAGGATTTTATAAGTCAAAAATACTAGGAGTACTCTCTTGAGCACATTTGCCAACAGACTGAATGAATTTCACAAAACCGGTATCTTTTGGTTTTTCCAAACCTCTCAATAAACGGTTTTTCATAACAGCAACAAATTCTCGATTGCTCAACTGTCCATCAACTTGAAATTAAAAAAAAAAAGTTAATAACATGAATAGTTTTAAGAATATTATGAATATTATAAATGTAAATTATAAACTCACGGTTTTCATCAAATATTGTGAAAATTACATTGATCAAATGGTCATTTAAGTCAACATGAGCTACAGTTTTTGCTACATGTTTTAAAGTGGCTATAAAAAAAAAATAAAGATTAATAATTAATATTTCGATAATAATTATAATCATTTATTATAAAAAGTGAATTAACCTTGATCAATTGATGCTCCTGCAATATGATAAAATGTAAGAGCTGTATCTACATCATTAATATTATTCAAAAAGTGAAAAAAATGTAAGTAATCTTCTTCACTAATGCCTTGAGTGTTTTCTTTGAATCTGAAATTAATAAAATTATTACTTTATAAATTAAAACAATAAACCTATTATTTAATTATTTTAATAGAATTTGGGATTAGTTAATAAAAAAATTTTGAATACAATTTATAATATATATTTTCTATGATTGTGTTTGGCACAATATATTATTACCACAAGAATATTTTGTATATTTTTGATGAATAAATAACAATTTTCTAGTAAAAGATAAAAAATAATTACTTCAGGTAACTTATGAGATTTACTTTATAAATACTTACACTTTTTTCACTCGCTTAATTATGCGTGCTTTTTTTTTAGGTGCATATCCCGCATATGCTAAAAGTAGATCAGTAAATTCTACTTCTGTTATGGTACCGTCTTCACTAGGACCTTTTCGTTGAAACTAAATTTAATTGTTGTTTAGTATAAAACCTGTTTACATAATATAATGTTTTAAATTATAAATTACCTCTAAACCTAAAATTTCTGTTTGTAATTGTTGTTGAAAATCGAGGAATTTCTCTATAGTTAGTTTTTCATCAAGATTTTCACCAAAAAAATATGTTGTTAATGCTGAATTGACTCCCTAAATTAATATACAAATAAAATATGTGAAAAAAAATTATTTTATAAGCTATGTACCTTAAACGTATTGCCAGTATTTGCATGATCTCTATGACGACTTCCGATACTTGTTTGATGTCGGATTAAGGTAGCAACCTTTTCAAATTCTTCACAGTCTACATCACCATCGCCATTTAAATCAAACATTCTGAATGCAATTTCAAAATGTCTTTTTGATGCTAAAATTAGATTTTAAATAATAGTAACAATAAATTAATAAAATGTATTAATGCTACATACTTGACAGTACAGTAAGTAAAAATATATAGTCTGAGAAAGTTATCAAACCAGAACTTCCAAGCTTATAAAATATACTATCTTCATTTAATGCCAATTCTAATTTCATGTGTGTATTCTAGAAATTCAAACATATACTGTTATTAAGGATTAAGGATCATTAAAATATTCAATTATCTATACTACAAATTGAAGTACTTATAAAATATTAATTTTGTACTTTTGGGTCATATTTTTTATATTGATCAAGACCAAGCCCATCTGGCTGTTTGATGCCTGGTGTCATAGAACGAAGGAAGTCATCTGGTGTCATAAATACTTCATGAGTCTCTTGTCCATTAGAGTGCATATGTGTTACTTGTAAAGTAGCAAAATATCTAAAAACCTTGTCTGGTGTTGAAAAATGACGTATCCTGTTCTCGTATTCTATAATCTGAAATAAAGTAGATTGTGTATTATTATTAATTGATTATATCATTGAAAGTTGAAACCCTTTATACCTTTCGGTCACGAAATCCAACTTTTTGTTTAGGTTTTTTTTTTTTTTTGTCAACAGTTTCTTCTAGAATTTCTTGTACTGGATTTTCGGTAATATCGACATTGCTGTCAGCATCCACAGGAGGAAATATCACCTCAGCAACCCTAAAAAAATAATGATAAATCATTAGTAAATATATTGTTCATAACAAATCAATCAAAAATAAATATTTGACCATACATAAAACATATTTAGTAAATTAGAACGTGGACAACTTATTTTTGTGATAAATATTGCACATTTTTACATTAAAATAATTTAAACATTATAAACTAGCAAATATAAGCTTACTTACTTCTCCCAGTTGATAAATTGATAAACTACAAAGCCTATGAAAGTAAAAATGTAAAATTTTTTTAAAGGATGTTCTGGAGGGTCTCTCTTATGACCAAAGTTCTTATAAGTACGACGATGATCAAATTTGCCAACTTGAAATACAGTTAATGATTTAAATGTTCCATGTTTTTTTAATAAGATTTGTCTTGAATGTAACCCATAACCCAAAGTTGGGCGTAATTTTGTAAGCCACATATCTGAAATGAAGTATATTTTATTAAATGCATTTTTTGACTAATTTGAAATATGTAGATATTTTTAAGCAATGAAATCTACTTTGTTTAATTTCAAACAGAATAAATATTAGGTAATAATTTTTATTTTAAAATTTCTTGTGTCTCCTATTTAGAGGATTAAAAATATAAACTTTAAGTTTATAAATTGTTTTTTTTTTTATAAGCAAATATTTTTTAAAAGAATTTTTACATAAGTAACATGTATCTATAAAATAGTTTTTATAATTATCTTTGTCTATAATTGAATTTTGTATTTTTATTTAATATTTAACAACAATTTAAAGAGAGTTTAAATTTTAATAACTTTTTTTCTAATTTATATATTTTTTAAAACTTAATTATAGGAGATATGAAAATAATATTGAAATAGTAAAATAATGCATGGTTTTAGAAAAAAAAAATTGTTTTAATTAACGTATTATAAGATAAAATTCTGAATACTGTGATCAGAGAATAGATTAAATTTAATCTATTCTGTGCTATGATCATGAACGTGTTGATAGTTAACTGAAAATAAATATCTAGTATAAGTGTTGAGATAACGCATTAATAATGTTTTAAACAACTTAATAATAATAATTAAAGAATAAAGTAAGTAGAGAATTCAATTGGATTAATAAGTAATTATTCCAAAATTATATTTTCTATTATTGAAAATTACTAAAACAACACACCATACATTATTTAATTAATTTTTTAGTGATGATCAGATTTCTGATAAATATAATAATATGCAAGATGATATAAATAATTTTAAACAGAATTCAAGTATTAAAGGTTATCATTAAATTTTGTTTTCTAATTAATTAATTAATTTGAGTCTTCTATTTAAAAACCTTATGTTGAACAAAATAAATTTAATGGCCAATGCTATGTCAAATATCAATCAAAACTAATAAACGGTTATATGTGGGGGGAGGAACGTCGTCATTTTGTTCAGATTGTGTAATGAGAGCACACAGGAGAAAGATTATACTATTGATAAATACATAGAATATTTTTTTAGTTTAAATACAAAGATTTTTAGATAAATAATTGGAATTTGAGATGGTCACCAAACACAGATTCTTATCAAACATTTAGGTGTTCAGTGGGCACCGTTTAGTACTCTTCTATATTACCTGGTTGTATTGTATTTTAATAATGCATTTCACACTCAACGGATTGGACCAATCGCGACATCTAAAATCACACAATCTATTGGATTTTGCGTTTTTCAATTTAATTTCATCGAGTGAATATTAAATAACAAACAAATAATGACTATTGAATGGGTAATTGGCGGACAATTGAATTATTGGAATTTACAAACCGCGCTGAACGTAGAATTCAGATATTGAATTACACTGATAAAACACGGCTGATGCAAGGCAATACAACTGATAGCGTTTATGTCGTTTGTGACCTTCTTTTTAGATTGTTTTCTTCTTTTTTCGTAGGTATACGATTATCGATTTTTTAAAAATCGCTAACAAAGAAGCAGCAATGCGAGGGCCTGACTAGAGAGTAGCAATTTGTTGCGCATGTCCGATATAATCAACACCCGTATTCTTATCTGTTTCGTTTCGGCGTTTTGGCACAGTATCGGGATTCGGGAGCAACGGGTTGATGGTCATTTTTGCTTATTCGTGTGTTGTGCGCGCGGAAAAGAAAACACACACACAAACGGAAGAAGAAAATTGATTTTTTCATCGCCGGCCTTGTACTTAACAAACATACTGTTCATAACCATATTATTAATACTTTTTATGATACATGTTTACCGGAATGCATAATTCAACATGGAACTTTCATCCAAAAATAGCTCACTGCCAAGAGGTGAGTTACCTACCAATCCAATTCTTTAATATAATAAAATTTCTATCGTCCAGCAAAGGCGAAGAATTGTGTTGTCTTGTCCTCTATGCATCGAAAAATATTTTTATCTCGATTATTGACCATTTAATGATTGGCGTCATCGATCGTGGTAGGTTTTATTCATGCTTTTGGTTCAAATGTCTATTATCTGTGTTTTATCGTATTTATTAAAAATTTCTTTAAAGCTTTCAGGTATTAGTAGAATTCGATTTGAGTTATATTTATAGACCCAATCTGTAGGTCACCAATCAAAACAAGTACAATATTAGAATACCTAGATCTATCTGTCATATTTATTCTTACAGAGCAGTGTTACTGATTTTGACATTTCTAAAATTTATATAAACTCTTGAAATTGAATCAACAAGTTATCAATTTTAATAAGAATATTATAAAAATAAATAATAGGGGTGTGTCAAAATATTCTGATTCTAGGTGTGTGGTGTTGGGAAATTTTATTAATTTTATTGTAATCTCATGAATTTTTTTTTTTACAGTCACACAATGGTTATCTAAAACGAGCAACCACAGAACAACTGTTGGAAGTGTTCAACAAAGTAATTTTTCCAAAAATCGATTAAGTTATTAGATAAAACAAAATATTATATCTAAGGATTTATTTAATTTGTTAGTATGCCACTGTCGAGAAGCAAGGCGAGAAATATATCAATTCTGTAGATTTCATAAAAAATTATATTGGTATATTGAATGAACCGTCCAGTGACTTGGATTCTTTACGATTGTTGAGTGGAATTGTTGATACTAATAAAGATGGGTTAGTATAAAAAGGAAATTATTCATAAAAAAATAAAAACAAACGTTATATTTTTTATTTTTTATTTTTTTGGTTATTCATCACTTAATTTTTGATGATTATACTTTATATTGTAGAATATTGCACATATACAAAAGAGTTTTTGTTATTTATATCATTTTTTTCCTAACACTGTATTGTTAACTTTAACAGTTATTAATTGTTATTTATAAGTTACTAGTATTTGATTTTTTATTAACTATTAATAAAGTTAAATTATTATTATGCTTAAGATGTGCCTTGAAGTGTCTTTAATGATGTGTATTAAAATGTTTGTCCTAAGAAAGTATATCCATTCAAAATTAAATTATAGACTAATCAAATATGTAATGGCATTTAACATATTCTATGTTATTTAGTTTTATAAAATAAAAAATACCAGCTAGATGTATGTTACTAAATACTAATTATAATTACAACATGAAATAAACCAGGTTAAAGTAGTAGTTTTACCCAACATATAAACTAAGTTCATATTTTTTTATAACTGCTATATATAATATATATACTCTAGCCAGTGAGAGAACGCATCAATTCTGTGCATCCCCATGACACCTTGTCATAGTAGACTTTTCCATCAGAGATGCACAAAAGAACTAATTCTCATAGTACCTTGATTTGTTCTCTTGCTGGTCAAAGTTTAGGTATTTCATAGTTATAAATTACAATTAATAGGTAATATATGTAATTCAGTGTTTATATTCAAAATTAATTATTTACAATTTTAATGACTAATGAAATGGAAATCTTAAAATGATTTTGAAAAAAATATCAATATTGTCTTGTCATATAAAATTACAATTTTTTCCATAGACTCATTTCTTTTGCGGAATTTCAAGCGTTTGAAAGTTTATTGTCTGAACCAGATGCTTTATATAAAGTTGCATTTCACTTGTTTGACATAAATGGCAATGGAGAGATTTCTTATGGTACTAATATATTAGTTAAGAAATTGTATGAATACTATTGAATGTTAAATATATTTATTTTCATTTTCAGATGAATTTGTGTCAGTTATTAAAAAAACTGAACTGTACTTAAAGATACCTTTCAATTTGGATAGTCAATTTATGAAATTGTATTTTGGAGAGAAGAAAAATCGGCTTATTAATTATTCAGAATTTGCTCAATTTTTACATGTATTAACATTTTATAAGTAGTTTTACTTAAGTAGTAAAAATTAAATTATTAATTTTTATTTTAGGATTTTCACGAAGAATGTGGAACTGAAATTTTTCGTATTTTTGATAAATCTGGTTCTGGTTTCATATCTGCTAATGATTTTCAAGAAATAATGCTGTTGTCCAAAAGCCATTTATTAACTAATGGTGTTCGAGATAATTTATTACCAGTAAATTAATTTAAAATCTTTAAATAGATGATAAATTTGAATTAGTATAATTTTTTAATTTATAGGCTGCAGGAGGGGGTCAAGGAGTACATCGTGTTAGTTTTCCATATTTTATGGCTTTTATATCACTTTTAAATAACATGGAACTTGTCAAACGTATTTATTTAAATGCCAGTAATGAAAATCGGAATCTGGAAATTACTAAAGGTCTTTATTTTAGATTTTATGTGATTTATAATGTTTAAAATAATTAGTTTCTTATATTGTACTATAATATATTTGTCATTCAGATGAATTTTTGTATTCTACTCAAGTTATGTCTCAAATTACTCCATTAGAAGTTGATATATTATTTACCTTGTGTCATCTATTACATCAAAGAGCTGGGTAATTTAATTTTACCACAATGTGTAGGTATATTTTATAATCCCATATATTTTTTTTTTAGTAAGATTATTTACAATGATTTACAATCAATAACACCAGAACAGTACTATAAAGAAATACATAATCGTAGAATAGCTGAAATCCATGCAGTATCTGTAAGTGTAGTTAAACAATTATTATTTCTAACCGTTATCTAAATTACTCTATCATTGTTTCAGAGTCCATCTGATAGAGGAGTTTTTATTCAAGTATTGGAGAGCTTGTATCGATTCACTCTGGGCTCAATATCTGGAGGTAATATTATTTTGCATTATTCCAGTAACATGATGGTGGCATGTTTGGTACTGTAGAAATATATTGATGTATCCAATTTAAGTATGGACATATAAACATGTATGTATGAGTGATACCAACTGCCCCACAACGCTCTAAATCTTTTCGTTCATAATTATTTTTTATTTCTTTGTATACTTGATGAGCTATTCCATATAATTCACCTAAAATTAACTAGTTAACTAGATACTATAAATTATTTCAACTATTTAAGCTATTTTAGTGTAAACAGTTTACCTTGACATATAAGTGGACCACCAGAATCACCGTCACACAATCCTTTTCCATTATCTTGTTGTAAGCAAATAATTTTTCTCCTCTCCCAATCTTGAAGACCTGGACATGCTTTGGCAGACATTGAAGAAAATACTTTAAGTTTATGTAAAATTGTATTATGGCGGCCAGGTGGTTTATCAACTTCTCCCCAACCTACAGCCGTGCATGCTATATAATCATTTATTGGAAGTCCTCTATCTGATACATGAATGATATTAACAGCGATAGTCATAAAAAATGGTTTGACACGAATAAGAGCTAAGTCATCATTGGCAACTCGTTTTACCTTAATAATAAGCCAAAACCATTTTATTACTGTTTCACATTTACATGAATAACTTACTGACTCTATAATTTGGGTGTATATGAACTTCTGTTCCTTGTCTGACTTGTGAATTATTTGTTCGTTCAACATAATTTACTATGCCTGCTATAACTTTGATATCGCTAGGTCTTATACCTAATATATAGTTAATTGAAAAACAGTGAGCTGCCGTCAAAACCCATTCTTCTGATATAATTGCTCCTGAACATGACATGGTCTTATGATATATGACTGTCATAAAAGGGAATTCAAAACTTTTTGCTACTTCTCCTCCGGCCAAACAAACTGGTTGATTATGGTAACATATTACAGACACTATAAATAATAAATGACTAACAAACAAATGTTTAACATTCATATTTTTAAGTCAAAATTGAATGGTATAATAAATATTTTTAAGCACAAAATTTAATATTTGTATTTACATTATCTATTATTGATTGATTGACTATAAAACCATAACAACAGTATAAAAAATTAAAAAAGTATGTATTTTTATTTTAGCTATTGGTGCCACAGCAGTGTATCCAATTGATTTGGTTAAAACTAGGATGCAAAATCAAAGAGCTGGTTCATTTATTGGCGAACTCATGTATAGAAACAGTTTTGACTGTTTTAAAAAAGTCAGAAATATTTTAAATTAATGTTTTGTACAAGTTTCTATTACTTATATTGATCATAATTCTATACATTTTTAGGTAATAAGACATGAGGGAATATTTGGACTTTATCGAGGTCTATTGCCTCAGCTGATAGGTGTTGCTCCTGAAAAAGCGGCAAAACTCACAGTTAATGATTTAGTACGAGATAAATTACGTCAAGAAAATGGAGATTTGGCTGTCTCTGCAGAGATAATTGCTGGTGCTTGTGTTAGTTTATTTTGAATTACATACATTTAAATTATAAACTAAATTTTAATATCAATATTACTTTTAGGCAGGATTTTCACAAGTTATATTTACCAACCCATTAGAAATAGTAAAAATTCGTTTACAAGTTGCTGGTGAAATAGCATCCACAAAAAAATTGAGTGCTATTACTGTTATTAAAGAATTAGGTTTCTTTGGTTTGTATAAGGTAATCAATTTCTTAATAATTACAATGTGAAATTGTCAATTGATAAACATTCATTATAATGTATTTTACTTTATTATTTAGGGAGCTAAAGCTTGTTTTCTACGAGACATACCTTTCAGTGCTATTTACTTTCCAGCATATAATCATGTAAAACAGGCTTTCGCTGATGAAAAAGGTTATAATCATCCATTATCATTATTAGCTGCTGGTTGTATTGCTGGCGTTCCAGCTGCATCGTTAGTTACACCAGCAGATGTTATAAAAACCCGGCTGCAAGTTGTGGCACGAAAGGGCCAAACTACATATAACGGATTAGTTGATTGTGCAATGAAAATTTATAATGAAGAAGGACCTAGGGCATTTTGGAAAGGAACAGGCGGTAATTTTAATATATACAAAGTTAAAATAACCATTAAAATTTATAGTTAAATCAAATTGTATTTATTTTGTTTAGCACGCGTATTCCGCTCTTCTCCACAATTTGGAGTGACCCTTTTGTCTTATGAAATTTTGCAAAGATTGTTTTATGTAGATTTTGGAGGCTCGTAAGTAGTAAAAAATACACAAATTAAACTGTATTATATATATATTAAATTAGTTTAATTATTATTTAAAAAAAAAAAAAAAACAATTTTAGGCGTCCATCTGGTTCAGAAAAACTGGTTTCAGTACATGGTGCTGGTGATGGAATCACTCCTTCAAATCCAGATCATATTGGAGGTTATCACGCAGTTCTTCCAATATTAGAAGGAATAGAATCTAAATTTGGTCTTGTATTTCCTAAAATTAAATCAGAAAAATAATCATATCATAACCTGTTACAGCTACTTACATTCTGAACATTTAATATTAATTGTTATTTTTGATATTAATATTTTTATCTCCATACAATTTTTTATATTTTAATTCATCAACTAAATAATTATGTATTTATACATGAAATCATGTATACACGCAAACACAAATTATGTAAACTATTCCTGTTTCTCTTTTATATTATCCTATTTTATTTTTTTTATGGCGTGTATGGATTAATATGATAATGCTCTTAATTATTGTACACCAATAAAATTATTTTTTTAAACCAATTAAAATTTCAATGTAATAATTTTAGAATTAATAAAAAAAGAGTACATTATTAAATATTTAAATATAAAAGTATATATTTTAGTTCTTAGTTTTTTTTTGTAAACCTTGGTGTATCTACAATATTCAGAATATTCTAATTAATTGAATTGATAAATGATTTATTAAAATCTTAAACATGGATAAGTACAATGAAACTTCCATATTATGATATCTGTTGAGAAAAATAAATTTATATTTTAGAGAGATTTATTAAGTATAATCAAATAAATTTATTTGGTCCTTAAAAATATTTTGTTGAAATGAAGTTTCACTGTACAATTTAAACGTCCTGAATGATTTTAACACATCACTATAAATTGAAATTTTACTACTAATATGCATGTGCAATAAATTTTAATAACACTAATAAGTAAGGCTAGAATTTTAATGATCTAAGAATCTAAGAAAAATGATCTAAAAATTCCTAAAAAAATAATCAAAAAGATGACTCAATAAGAAAAAATGACCTCATAAATGCTCGAAAAAAAAATTATATTAATAAATTACCTAATAAATAGTTATTTATATTTTTAAGTATACAAATAAATTCATCTTCTGGTTTAATGGCCAGTGTCATTTGTTCTAAAATGAATACATTTTGAAATAAAATAATATCGTAAAACTAAAATTTTAATTTAAATAAAACTTAAATTTAATAATGAATTAATGAAGACAAAACGTAATCAAACATTATTATTGGTTATTGCTCGGTTAGTCCAACGAGTATATTTTATATTGTACAAACGATTGGTATTTTGAAATATTAAATATTTTTAGAAAATATATTTACGATTTTATTCTAATGTTGTATTATTACATGTTTGTACAATAATTTATAACGATCATTTAAAATTCTATTAAAAAAATTTTAATAATATTTCTCAGATTTCAATAAAGTATAAAAAAAATGCCCACTCAACTGAAAAAATGACGTAAAAATGTTAAAAAATGACCTCAAATTAAAAAAGTACAAAAAATGTAAAATTAAAACTATGTGGTTAAACTCGTAGATGACTAAATCAGAATTTGTGCTTGAAAAGCCATATCCTGTAAAAAAAAAAAAAAAAATGCGAAATCCTATACTATCCTAACGGCTAACCTTACTAATAAGTAATAATCATCAAATCTCAATTTTATTAATTTTATGTTTCTTTGGATTTATATTGGAATTGAAAGGCTAATAAATAAAGTAATAATATATTTTATATAAAGCAATGAGGAAGTAATAAGATGTGTGTTGTGTAGTGTACAACTTGTACAAGTGTGTGCGATTTTTATATTTTATATAATATAATGTAACAATTTTATCGAAAAGTTTTGTGATGTTTACACTAAATTATTGCAGTGCTGTCCATTATGAAACAATTTTAATTTCCACGCTAAACCCGCACTGTTTAAATATTAATTAACAGATATTTCTTTTTTAAAAATTTAAAAATAGGTGTAGGTACCTATTAGTTATTACTTAACACAAAAATAAAACAGGAACTCGTTAAAATGCTATTTGTTGTACAAGTTTTATTCAATAAAAATGTCTACTGTCGTTTACATTTTGCAGTGATTTTTTTTTTCAAATCCAAATTAGGTATTGCTAAACAAGACAACACATCAAAACCAGGTATTTATAAATTTATATATCAATATATCATCTGTTAAGTGACAATTTAGCGACAATTTAATACGCATTTATTTTGTTTAACTGTGTTAGATTAAAAGAAGATACATTCTGTAATCTGTACGTAGATACCTATATATTGGCTATAGCCGTTATAGGTATTATACATAATATGATACCTAGGTACCTATTTATGTAATATATTGCGCGTACAAAAGAAAATCCATTTTACGGATAAGTGCGTCCGATTACAAATGTAATTATCATAGTCTACGATCGACGATCGTAAAGCTTATTACCCTTCAAACAATTCCCATGCTCCATAAACACATTTGTAATTTATAAATGGTTTTTGTCTTGGACGGACTTGACTAGTCTCATCCTTGAAATTGAAACATTGTATTTTATTAAAGGATTAAGGTAGCCTATATAATTTTTACCAATAAATTATTGAAAATAAAATATGGTTAAATCTTTGCTTATGGTTCTACAGGTAACGATAAATATAAAATGTAAAAAAAGTAATCATCGGGATAGATGAATCATGAATATTATATTAATATAGGTATACTTATTATCAAATGATAAGAAGTGATGCTATGAACTATTATGACAGAAAAAAGTAGACGAGTACCTAGCTTTATTTTGAGATATTTTCTTTGATACTTAAATTTAATCAGTTATATTTTAGACTCCAAATAGAACAATGGATGTATTGATTTCATAACAATGTGTGCTCGGATGTGTGTTTTTTATTTTTTCTGTTTGTTATCACTCATCAGACGACAGACATCACTTTTTTTAGCAATAATAATAGAACATTTTTAATTAGGGCAATTCTCAAATTTGAGGTTAGTATAGCTGGTAGAAAATTAAATTTGGTATTTTAATGATAAAAATTAATCGGTAAAACACGTAAATTCTTTTCAGTCCAAATTTTGTTAAGATCGATTTTGTTTTAGTTCAAAAAAGTTAAACTTTAATTTTGAATTTTTCAAAAAATATTTGTAATATTATTTCAAAAACATGAAATAATGTTCGTGCTATTTATAAATACTTTTGACAATTTAGTTTTATTTTAGTTATATTTTATGTATGATCAAATATTTGTTAGCGCGTAAAAAAACTTTTCAATTTAATACAAATAATACAATATTCCTCGTAAGTTATACTTACATAATATATAGTATTTTAAAAATATCAAAAATGAATTGGCACAATTTTATTTATTTTTTATTTTTTGACGAAATAAGTTATTCACAAATTTTAAACATAAAATAGTGAGTTTTAATAGATTTTTTTGTATTTAAAGAAAATTATTATTTTTCTTGATTTGAAATTTTTTTTTTTTTTTTGACAAAAAATAGCTTAAATTAAACTTCCTTTTTAATTAAAAAAGACTTACTTATAGCAATATAAACATATAATATATAACAAAATATTCTTAGAACTTGGAAGTATCAATGGTAAGGCTGATTATAATTTATCAAAGAATTTAAATTATTCTCATTAATAACAGCGTCCAGCTATACCTAATCAACGAAGAGATAAAATTGAATAGATATTTGATACATATGACATATAATATATATATATATTTAATATCTATATTATACATATAATATATATACATATTTAATATCTATATTATACATATAATATAGATATTAA